AGTCGTATCTTACTGGGCTTCCCATACTTTTGAATATTACTATATCTGCACATTTTGTGAAGCAAAAGCAACGGCAAGAAAATCACTTCCAAGAACGACTAAAGAGGTCGACCAGCATAAAGTTGAGGTAGAAACTTATTGTGTGCTCTACTTATTCACAAAATAGTGTTACCATAGAAAATGATGCTTTTGCTTGTACGAATCCAAAAAATTGTATAATAAACCTTGTCATTCGTCATGGAATCACGGTGCGAATAACTGAAATAATACAGCCGTAGAGAATAAATTACTGTATATAGAACGTAACCGTACTTTACCCTAACCCGTAACTCTTAGAATTTCATATTTTGCTGAAATTTTTAGCAAAAATGGTAAATGCCGACCAAAACCAACAAATGATGCTCATTCTCTACAAACCTGAGATTGTAAGGCTAATGCACTTCCAAAGATCTGCGGATTTGCGATTTCCGCTTGAATATATTACTTTACTTGCTGATTACGAGATTAATACCTTATGATAACGCACGCCCTGCTGTGGTACGGTAGCTACACGATACGAACGGAACCATAGGAAAAATTCTGAAACTTTTAAGGAGCTGGCTGAGCATGCTGAGTTGGGATATCTTTTCATAAAATAAAACAATTGAAATCCGTTTTTAGGTAGAAACTATTGAAAATTGAAAATTGTCCCACTGGTCCAGGAATGGTTGGAAATTTACTTTTGCTAAGATAGTACTCAAAAAATTCCTTGGGAAATTTCTCTGCCTATGCAACCATAGTATTAGGTTGGTGCAAAGGTAATGCGCGTTTTTCTAGCCCTTATTTCAAGACAGCTTTTTCCGTAAGTTTCTCCTATGAAAGTTACACAGCATACTTTGAAAAGGTTCTTTCATGCTCTATTCAACGGTGGTTGAAAGAAGCTTCTAGCCTCAATGGTTAAGAATTTATAGAGCTTCATACAACCGCACTCGAAACCAGAATTTCATTGCACTTACTTTTTTGGCCAGAATCTGAGCGCAGTTAACGGATTCTTTTGAGAATTTAAATACTGTATGTAGTGGTTTCTACGTTATGCACTTTTTGCTGTTTTCTCAGAAATTATTTAGACTGAGATTTCTGTGCCCCAACATGAGTGATGGTTTTGACCATTCTGTGGCCCATAGATTTCCTTCGAAGAAGGCAATCGCCAAAGTTTTGCTCATTCCTGTAAGCGTAAGGGTGGGCCTCCTGTTGACAGTTTTTACTGAAATTTGGAACTTCAGTTCAGTACACAGAAAATCAAAAATCTCCATACTTTGGGATTTTGAGGGCTACGAAAAGATGTTGGAAAAAGCGGACAATTTTCAATATTATTTTTTCCTTTTCTCAAATCTTCTTTTTTGAGCCCCTTTCATTTTTTATTTGTACTACTGGCCTGCGGCTACAAGAAAGTCAACTTTTCATTTATACCAACAAATCTTGAAGGAAGTTATGATCAGTTAAAAACGAGGTTTTCAAAAAAAAATTTTTATTTTGCTTATCAATCCATATTTTTTCACCGCTTCGCGATGTTAGCACAAATTAACGTGCGCTATATAAAGAGAGGTTTGGTGCCTCTGATGGGTTTTGCCGCGCTAAAAACTATGAATTTTTTAGAAAGTATAGCACGTCAAATTGAGAACTCGCAAAACGCGCATTACTTTTGCACCAACCTAATAAAAGCATCAAATCCGGTTAATCATTCAAGAATTTACAAATCTAAATAGATAATTATTTTCTGCAAACAGAAAAACTTGTATTACGATAGCGGGACATTGCACTTCTCAGCAGTTTCCCTGGCGCTATTTGAATTCGATCCCCATAGAGGATGATGAATCATCGTCAATGGCGGGCTAGGCAACGGAACAATCGCCAAGGCCATAAAAAGTTCAAGGCAAGGCTGTTTGAATTCATGCCAGGCGGCGAGAACAATAGAAATTTGGACGAATATTCTTGGAAATAAAAACTCGCTATTTCTTGGGTCGATAATATAGAGATCAAATCAATTTGAGGAGATTTTTAGCAAATTTTGATTTCTGAAAACTTGTTGTTAACGCTTTTCAATAAGTGATATAATCTTTCTCCATACAATGCGGAAAATGTTATTTCTTTTCCTTACAGTGACTCATTTTAACCCAAAAATGATACCATAGAAACTCAAACAACAGTTTTTGTTGACTGTTCACCATGCATCTATGACTCATAGGTGAGAAATGGCGACGATTTATGAGCCAAGCGGCCAACCTTCGTTTCGAAACAATTAGTCCTAAAAGGTCGTTTTTATCCACTTAGGTAGGTTTTATGACTGGAAGAATTGCAATTTATGATGAAGTACCCTACTTCGCGGTATTGCGAAAGAATACTGGAGTGGACAAATTTGTTGGACTGTAACAGTCGTTTTCATAAGAAAAGATGTCCTTTGATGTTCTTTATATATCTACTTCTAAGGAAGCATATTTGGACGGTGGCCGTTTCGAAAGAGTCGCTGATTCCAAAGAACGTTTGTGGACGAGGATGTGAGATTTTATTGGAACAAGAGATTAAAGTCCATTTGGGAAAGAATGAGTTGCTAAAATCTCATTGCACTCAAACAAAGCAACCAATTGTTTTATACATATTTTTATTTTAGTGTATTCAATGAATAAAGTGCTCTATTAACACGTTTCGGACCACGAAATCGCGCGCGGCGAAAAAGAGGGTGCTTTCAGCCGTTGGCCAACAAAGGGACTTTAATTCGTAGATTGTGTGGTACATCTGTAATCAGCATGTCAGATAAGATCCATACCCAGAGTTCTGAGTGAATTCGAAGTGTTTGAATTTTGTCGTCTGAGAAGGACTTTTGTGCTTTCTTGAAAGATAGGAACAAGAACTCAGATTCTAATAGTATTCAAAAGTATCTATGTTGTACACGATACACATCATTATTGGAACTACGGGTTTTCTCTTTGTATTCAAAGCTAGGAAAAGTTGCGACGCCGCACGCGTCATTCGCGTCCGCACTTCGTTACAACTGATGTTCGATTTGTCCTCATATCTCCTGAACAAATATTCATGGCACAGCTCTACAGACCCTTTCGAGAAGAAGGAGCTTAGGCCTTTGACTTGATAACCTTGGACAAAAATAAAACCTCTTGTAAACGTTGAAAAGATCCTTCAAAGGTGCGTGCTGCACCATGTGCAGCACCGCTCCGAAACGTGTTAATTATCACTGCTCCATCAAAGCAAAGAAAAAAATCACGACTATTTTGCCTTATTTGCACATTCGATTTGTTGCTCCGATGAAACTCGTAACTCCTTGTCCATGTTTTGTGGATTAGGAAGGCAGATTTAAAATCAGCGTTTTATGCTCCATTATGGTATATATCCCATCTAAATAGGCCACCTCGAATAAACATGCTCTTGTTCGTCATATCATCGATTTGTATCGTGAGAATTGTTCGGAAGAAGTCGGCTTTGACGCTTGACTCGCGCTTTCGCGATGTCTGATGAGGAATAGTTATTCTTTTTACAACTAAAGGCGAAAAAGAGAAAAATGAGGACAACAGAAGCGAAAAATGACTGGTATGCATGTGGATAAAAGAAGTCTAGAATTGAACATCAATTAGCAAAAGCATTTCACGGCTTCACGTTCATAAAAATTTATCTTTTTATCAACTTTTGTAGAAGCCGAATGATTCTTATAGCCCTTGCTTTGTATAGCATTGAGCAACAACAATTATACAGAACAATGAAAGCTCAATGTCGATTACAGCTTTTATCTAGGCTCTAATCGATCCACATGATCCATATGCTCATTGATTTTGATTTCTTACACTTTCTAATCATTTTACTCTTTGCTAGCAAACAACAAACAATGGCTATGCATACAGCCGAAAGAATTTATTTCTCAATAATTGTGGAGTCTTTGTTGCAAGTTTTCTTGAAACTGGGTAAAACGGCGAAGATCCTTTACGGATACGTAACTTGTAACGTTGTAGGTGTGTTTCTTCAACAGAATATAGACTGATTTTCTGCAAAGCAAGACTAAACTTACAAGGTATCTGCGAATATAATTTAACTAAATTGGATTCAGCTTGTGGTTCAAGTACAAAAATGAATGCTGTGGGAAAAAATTAGTTGCAAACTTATAATGTATCCAGGATACCTCTTGCATTCTAATGAAACAATGCCAAGAAAAATCAAATGCCCTTTATGGATTTATTTTATAAAAAGCGTTTCGTATACATGAAACTTTGAAAACAAATTTCGTCTTGGTAATAGCATAGAGAAAAACAGCCAACGGCCTTCTAACATCATCTAAACCTAGTCTTTTCCGACCATCGGGACAAGAAAGATTGATGAAACAAGGTTTGCTTGAAGACAGCCCAAAATATTGCTGGAAAGGGCTGCAAATGGCTTGAGAAATTCACAAGAATTATGTGAACTTGTTTTGCACTAAGGAAGTGTGGAAAAATTAGAAAATTAGCAAGCGATAGTGGAACGGGGAGGGGAGCCTAAAAAGGTGTTTTGCTTGAAATATGAAAACTGTTTTGCTAATTTCTTTATGCAATGTTTTTTATCCCAATTGCACATTTAACAAGTACTCAATAAATGGTGCCACTAGTGCCACTTTGATATACCGTATTACAGTATCCCAAGATTACGCGGGAAGCCTACCTGAACCAATCAAAAGCTCCAGTACGGTGGATCGTACGGTAGATCAATATGCATCTCGATATAGCAATGAATGCTACGACACATAATGAATACAAGGTCATTAGCGGATACTACGTCATTCCATTTGACCTACCATTTTAAAGTAACCCCTTTCATGCGTAAATTCTAAATGAACCAGTTAGAGGTTTCTATAATAGTAAGTTAAATCTAATTATCAGTGCAGTGATGAAAACTGCAGCTAATTTCAAGTTACGAAATGCTCTAAAATCTTCATAATATGCTCTCGTTTGACCTTTCAACCCCCCCCCTTCTCCGCATAGCTTTTGATGTTGATCATTGCCCTAACAACAAATAGGTTTGTTTACCCGATCGATGCAGCGCTCGACGGCGGGGGGCGTGGTCAGGCAGACCAACGAAAAACGGCTCCGAACGACATTCGCAGCTCGATCGACGTCGCGATGGTGAGTTGTTCATCGCATACTTGGCTTTTTCTAAGATTCTGAGTCACGAAAATGCAAGGCGGAAGAGTGTTGAGGGTCCTAAAATACTTTTTCAAGTTTATACAAACAATTTTTCAAATTATTGATATCTCAACACTTTTATCAAACAGAATCGTAATTATATACTTTGAGTTTTATACAGTCGATCTTACAAATTATGATCAAACTTTTATAATTTCCCTTATAAAAGTCATGTCCTATGAATATTTTCGATGTTATGCAGTCGATACTTTTGAGTTATAATTTAATTTTTCCAATTTTCGTCAAGTTTCAAGTTCCATGTGTTCGATTTTAGTGAATGAAAGGAATTAAATAGTGTTTTCTAATCGAATATTGTCGATTGAAAGCATTTATACGGAAGAGATTGTTAGATTTTTTTTCAATGGCAGTTCATTCTTTCATCTTTTGAAGCATCTTGCCTGCGGATTTCATGAGTAAGTAAATAAATAAATTTCCTTTTGAGCCGTTACTCAACAAAAAATTCACTAAGTCTCATAAATTCTTTTATTCTTCAAACTTCAGGTCCTTTCTCTTTGAATTTTCGCTAAAACACCAATGGATATCAGATTTTCCATTGCTGAATCGTTCGCATAATTTCTTATTCAAGAATTGTTTCTACGTCCACGGCACACAACTTCCCATATATGTTTCCAAAGTGCATATTTTGATTGTTCGTACATGGGCGTTCTTAACAACGTTTATAATGAATCACCTACCCTTTCTATCATCCTTGTCAAAAGGAAGAAAGTGTAACCTAGTCCACAAAAAGTGAAGTATGTTGCTGATCTTCTTGGGGGAAAATCTGGAAACAGAGGGCGAAAATGTCAGTCTAAAAATGAGACTGAAAGAAGAATTTAAAGGTAGGGGAGAGGGACAGAAATATTCATCATAATTTATGAGAAAAATACCATGACCATTTTGTCACAGCTTTTCTTCCAAATTTTGCCTTGGTTTATATATTTTCAGTTGTGAGTTTTGCTATGATTTACGATGATTTTGTTAATTTAATTTATTTTTTCGTAGAAGATTCTATAAAAGAGTTTCTTGTCTTTTTTTTCTAATTTTTCATTTCGGTTTCCTAGTTCTTAGCCTAAACACTCTAATCGATCGAAGCGCAAGCCTGTAAAATCTCTTCGAAATCCTTATCGACAACAACATTTTATAGCGGATGATTGATTTATATAAGTGTGTTCGCTGCATACACAGAACCTGTCTTAATTACCTCTTCTCCTTATTACCAGGCCGTAGACTATAGATCAAAGCAGAAAATCCTTCGAGAGCCTCCGGTCTTTGACCGGTGCGCTCTAGAAAAAGAGCTGCTCTCCTGCGTGCTCGTGAGACCACTTGATTAGAATTGCACGAGTCGCCATTTGCGGAAAATTGTTGTTCGATAATTTCCGGGAAAAGACCTTGGGCGAAGATTGCGATAAGATTGTTTACATTTGTTTTCTTGATGGACAAAAACGGCAAGTCTTTTCTTGTAAACAGTAGCTTGAATAAACTGCTCTTATCTCTTATCAGCTTTGCGTGGAATTCTAGTCATATCATTGGTCTTAGATCTTTTATACTTCCGAAAGCTCTTACAAATATGCCGTTCTATGTTTTCTAAATCTTTGTTACAAACAAATCTTTTCGAGCAATTAGTTTCTTCATAAATTACCAATGCCTCGCAATGCACATTATCTCGTCTAAAAAAATACAGACATCTGGTAAAACATTCTATGTTTCCTAATTAGGAATCTTCTCTTATACCATTCCTCATGAAAATTTCTTCCATATCTCGTAATGCATAGAAGACAGTTGGTATGCTTGGTAATTGGGGAATGCCGGCAGTTGTGGGTTGGGGTAAGTAACATCTGGTATTGAAGAGCATAACCTTTAGAACAAGTAATTTTTTAGTTCGTTCCAAGGGAAGGGGTAAAAATCACACTTTGATTGCTGAAAAGTCTATACATAGTTTCTTCCTTTTTACCATCGTTCATGAATGCATGCAAAAACTCGCATTTTTCAAAGATTATCTTGCTTTCGTCATGTAGCAGTCGTATAGCATGAGTTCTTAAAAATAAGTTTTTTCGAATGACATGCAGTGAAGGCCATTCAAAAGGTTTTTAGCTTTTCAGTTGTAGTAACACCAAGAAAATATATCTTGTATTCGAATTGTTTACAGAAAAGCTGCATTTCTTCCTGTGTCCTCCCGCCTCAGAATTAGATATTGTTTTTGATTTTGCTCTAAAAAGATGGGCTTTCAAGTTATTTGAACCAAAGTAACTATTTCTGGTTCATGTATTGAAGGTCTGGGCCGATGAAAGATAATTGCTGCCCATGACCTAAATGCGGTGCTATACGATGGCAAAACTGCTGTTCAATAACCAGTGCTGTTGAGATTATAGCAAAACGAAATTTCTTGAAAACAAAAAATTGTTCAGGTGCACTTGCATCAGTTTTAACTGAGATTTACAAGCTAAGAAAACTGGATTTTTCTACCATCGTTAACAAATTTGAACCAGAACCCGAGTCGTGCGATTTTTTTTGTAAGCACACTTGTATTTTCCCGAGAACATTTTTGAGACTTCTTTTAGGCCGTTATTGTATTTTAACCCTCATTCAGATTTTCATTTTTTATATCTATCAATATAAGTGAATTTTTGTTTCTAAAAAGATTTTGATCTTTGTAAATGGAAATGCAAATGCGAAATGCGTTCTGAACATCTCATTTTTTGGAAATCTTTAGCTGGCTGAAGTTATTCCTCAAATGTTCTGTTGAAAAATCTCGTAAAAATTCTGAAACATTACTTTGAATAATTGATTATTTACTGAATCGGATCTCCATCACCCCGTCCTTTTTAAAAATCTTGCATTTCAGTGTCGAAACAGTTTGTTTGCTAAGCTGCTATGCTTTCGAAGGGGGGAGGGAAGTGCTTTCCATTCAGTGCGCTGAAATTTTTTGAACGCTGAAAGAGGATTGCGTTTGCAAGAGTCTCTTTCGTTTGTTTGCTGTACTAGCCAATTTATGGCTAGCGGAGGAATGCTGGCTGAATAACTTGAAAATCAAATCGTTTCATTGTAGTGAAATTTTAGCTGCTCCTCCCCCCACCACATTCACTTCGCTCACTTTTTTTGTCACTTTACGATCTTTAGTGAGTCACCATGGTAGCACGTATCCAACAATAACGAGCATGGCTCACCTATACCTTTTGAATGAGTTGATTGACAACGATGAAAGTATCTGGGTGACTAAGCGGGGGGGGGGGGGAGGGGAAAGAGTAGAGTCACATTCTGATAGCGTTGCGGTAGATAGTTCAAACAGCGGTTTATTTGCCAAGGTTATCGTTATTCGCTTGCACAACGCGATTAAAGTCAGTGATCCATGATCAGTAAACTATTTAAACAGAGGTAGTGATTCATTTTCGATTTTTCTTGAAACTTGTGTGCAGTAAAGGAAGGTGAAACTTGACCGAAAAATTTTTTAATAAAAATTCCTGTCGTTTAGCATTTTATCGATCACACGAAGCTCATTCTCAGCATTTGAAAAATTGGGAAAAGAGTTAAAAAATTAGGAAAAATAAGACAATTTCAGCACTAAAATCAATAATTCATGTGGTCTCGATATCACTTTCAGCAGTCATACCTTGAAACTGGACGGAAAAATACCAGAATGATGTAGAGATTTCGAGACCACATGAATTATTGATAGTGTTGATTTTAGTATTTTTGATATTATTTTACTATTTTAGATTGATTTTAGTATCAAGTCTTATTCAGCATGAATTTTCTTATCTTTTCTCAATTTTTCAAATGCTGAGAATGAGCTTTGTGTAGCCATTTTCATCACTTCCAGATGTGTTCGAAAACTCTCTCTCAAGCTCAAAAAATCATTCTGAGATCATAAATATATCTTTTGGGTTTTTGCTGCAGATTTTGGTTTCTCTCAACATTAGAAGAGACACACGATGGGAGAAGAAACTGCACAATTTTTCATAAAACCTCTAGAGGAAATAAGGTTTCCCATTTGTGGATCTCGCGGGAGTTTACTAATCATTCAACTTTCGTTGCACCATTGAGTGCAGATATCAGGAAAATGCTTGAGAAAGGGGGAAGAGTTGGGATGAGGGGGGGGGAGGTGGGAGAGGGATAGGGAATTTGGATGTGCGCTCTTTTCCGACCTGTATTGCATTCTTCCCCAACTACATTTCAAATGGTTGCTTCTGTCAGCAATATTGCTAATTTTTATCAAAACGAAAAATTGCAGAGGAACACCGAAATGAGTCAAAAATGACGTTGAGGGAAGTTGAAAAGAAAAAGGAGGTGGAAGAGGGATTGGGTGTAGACAAACCTCAGTGACCAAGTCCCAATCTAGCATTGCGAAATCATAGATTGCATTGCAATATGCACTTTATCGCATTCGTAATAGGGCTGCAAAAAATGAATGAATTGCGGCATAGACAAAGGGGGGGAGGGGGACAAAGAGTTGTGGGGTACTATTACTGACATGCTGGATCCCGAGCAGTGCGAAACTCTGTGCTATGTTGAAGTTTGTGAATTCAAAAACTTTATGCTTTGTAAACAATTGTTTTGAAAAATATTATCATTTCAAAATTGGGAACTCCACTTTTCCTTAAGTAGCGACTAATTTCCCAAATATCGATTTTTAAAGTACTGATTTCATTGTAAGTTTTCCCTTCTTGCTTATGTGATTATTGCAGGCTCATCCCGGAGATGCACCAATTCCTGTGCCCTATGTAACCAAGCTCGGACAACCGCTAAAAGCTGGACAGACTCTAGATATCCATGGAAGGATAAATAAGGATGCTAATAGGTAGGATAACAGAGGTTCTAAATCAATTAATCTTTGTGAGGGGGAGGCGAGGGGACGGGAACTTGCTATTTCCCCGTCATTCCTCATGATAGGCAATGTACAAGCTGCGCTAACTGCTGCATGCGGTTTTGATGTCTTCGAGTCGCGTACAGATAATGGGGGCTGCAGAGACGCAGACACAGGCAAGCCGCTGCGGTCGCGCTTGTGCATTGTCTGCGTCGCTGAAGTTTTTTGATGTCCCGTCCCCTCTTTCTGTTCTTCCTTACCGAAATTCTTGAAAACGTCGGGGAAGGTAGTTTTGGCTCTTTAGCTTATATATTTTATAGTACCCGAAAAAAATAAAGTTGAAAATAAGATCATTTCTTGATTTCAGAGTTGAAGTCAATCTTCTCCATGGTGCACCTTCGATTGATCCTGGACAGTGTGTTCTTCACATCAATCTTCGTTTTGACGAAAAGAAGATAGTCATGAACAGCTACATGGTATCAACTTTTCGTAATTTTGAATATTTTCGAATTATCCTAAGCTAGAAAAAGATGAGAATAGCATTGGACTCATGAATGTTTTGTTTAGAATGGAGCCTGGGGAAAAGAAGAACGCGAATCGATGCCATATAAGCAAGGCGAGGCATACGACCTTAAGATTAGGTAAGTTTTTAACTCAAGAAGAGCATAATTGTTTTTTTGGCAACGCAAATAATTTCTTCCAGGATAAGCAAAAACAATGGTCTTTTCTTCGCTGATAACATTTAAGAACGAGTAGTTCGTTTGGTGTTCAAAATTTGCATCAAAATATGGATAGAATTTTACGAAATTGTTTGCAGTCGTTTAGCCCCCTATTTCGTCATTTATACTTTTTTTCTTAAGTTTTCATGTCATAGCGGAAGAACTTGAAAGGGTCATGAAACTTCAACTTTTAAAATTTGCATCAGTGAAGGATTGCCCACGGAATATTCTTTTTGGAGATGCAGATCAATGTGGCATTTTTGGAAACTGCAGTCAGATTGCGCTTCTGTTGGCGCCGTTCCAGCGCCGTTCCGGCCGTGCCATTGCCGTGCCCTTGTCATGGCAGCGCTGTGGCAGTAGAATGCCGTGCTACCCGTGCTCTGTACCGAAACCGTATTGGAGGAGTTCGGCATCGATCGCCGACCTCGACCACTTGCGCAGTTCTGGCACGGTGTTGGAACGGCGCTGGAACGATGCTGACTCTGCCTCCGTAAACAAGGTTCGACGCTTATGTTGATATTTTCCTTCCAGGGTTCAAGAAGATGGTTTTGAAATCTGGTGTGATGAGAAAAAAGTTCACGTTTACAAACATCGCATGGGTTACGATGCCATCGACTACCTTCAAATCAAGGGTGACTGTACCCTGTCTGGAGTTCACTGGGGTGGAAGGTATGGGACCATCAAAATTATTACGGTGAGGTAGAGTGCTTTTCATTGCAGGTACTACAATATCCCATGGGAAACAGCATTCCCGGATGGAAATTTGCGAGCGGGTACGTTTTTTCATTCAGAATCCGCACATAACATAAAAATGATTCTAAATTTTTCGATATAGGTCAAAGCATCCTGATGCATGCTATTCCTAGAGGTGACCGTTGGAATTTGGACCTTCTAGGCAGGGGCGGAGATGTCTTGTTCCATTTCAACCCCAGATTCAAGGATAAGCAGGTAAGTAGAAAAAAATTGAAGGTCACAAATGCTAATCATACTGTGGCTCCGTTACAGATTGTTCGAAACTGCCAAAAAGGTGGTGTATGGGGCAGGGAAGAGCGTGAAGGACCATTCCCATTTGAGAAAAATCATGGTTTTGATCTCAAAATCGAAAATGAACCCTATTCCATTCAGGTGAGCTTACCTAGCGTGTGATCCTGTAAGCTGCCAGTCTTGCCTACACTTACCGTATCTTTATTTTACCATGGTATACTTACCGTAATGCGCCAACTTTATTTCTTTCTGGCGTTCTTATATGAAAATAACTCAAAAAATTTTTTAGAAAATTTTCTGGCCAGTTTCCTTGACGAATTTTTTTTTGAGATCTTCGTAAACAACGAGCGCATTGGTACATTCGAACATCGCACTTCCCAGCCAACCGAAGACTACATTGGAATGAGGATTGATGGTGATATCGAAGTGACCAATATCGAGTTTGTCTAATCACTATCGATCAATAAGTATTGCCTAAAACAATACATTTGCTCCGTATTTATACGTTGATCATGTTAACAGTTATGATCCCTTTTTTCCGAAAAAAATTCATTTTATCACAAGCATTTGCTATTCCGATATCATCTGTTTTTCACTTGTTATCAATAAATTCGCACATAATTTGCTGAAATTGTTCGTAATCATTCGTAGCGCAGAGACACAATGATATGCATACAATTGACTTTCGGTTTTTTTTGACATGGTCTCGTTTACACCAGTAGCCATATTCATCAACGAACCCAGTGGGTTCCGGAACCGGTATTCACGAACGTAATCAGTGGGTCCGCCAACCCGAATGGCAGGCATATCGGCATTTACGAATCAAGTTACTCAGTTCTTGTGGGTTCTGGAAATCACTGAGCGATGGGTTGGCGAACTCAAGCACGGTGCAAATTCCTCAGTGGGTTAGTGGGTTATTTACATGCGAACCCATTACCTTTCCTGGGTATTATGTGGACTTTCATAAGCAGGGATGGTTGTTACTAGTAACAGAAAAAATTCCCATATTCTTTATAACTGATAGGAATTTTGCTGATAATTTCTGACAAGTTCAATGAGATGTAGGACTAGGAAACTTGATGCCAGACACAATTTGGCAGTCTCGGAAAAGTCGCAAACGGGCCTTTTGACGGAGTTTTTTTTGCGTCAAATTTTAAGAGCCTTAAGCCTTGCGGATGTTTGCTCATGCTATCTTAGAAATTTTCTGACACTTCTGCGGCGGATGGAGCCTCATATAGGAAGCAGAGCGTCTGCCTGCATTTGTGATTATGTATTTGGTTGTCTATTTTCGTTTGTTCCGCAAATTAATAAAAGAGTTTTTGCTTCCATTCCGATCAAGTCAGTAGGCAAGCGCATTAAAAAAAGAAAAAAACGGTTTTTAATCAAAATCGTTTGTTGCTTGATCTCGTGGATTATAAAAAGTAATGGGGGGGGGTGAGGGACACTAGTAATCATGGTAATCACGTATTAGTTTACGTCATAGAGATTAGAACTCCGTCGTGATCCCTTTGCACATTTTAATCTAAGGAAAATGTACTCACACTACCATTCGGGTATCCTCGCACAAGAAATACAAATGGACAAAAGCACTCGAGCGATTCCTGCGAATATGCCTTGCCACTAATGAATGAAAATTTCGTTTGAAAGTAGGAGTTTGAAAAAAGGCATAGTTTTACTTTTCGTGTACAGCAAAAGCATCCACAGAATAAAATTTAGCTACTCCTTGCATCATGTTAGTTGTTCAAACTATGCGGATTCGTGGATATCAGCTATGTCGCGCAATCTTCGAAAAATGTGGCTGATATCCTTTTACGAGGTAAAAGATAACTCTGAGCAAAAATCATTTGTACAAAGAAAGAGTAGAGCCCTCCTTTTTCCATCCATTTTCAAACATTATTTTCGACAGTCATGTTTGGGTCCGAGAGGATACTCAGATATTGGCCGGGGGAAGGCGGCCATGCGAATTTTGAGCAAGCGGGCCGCTTGCAGAAATTTGGGATAATTTTGGTCAAATTTGGACGAACGCTCCGAGAAATCGCGGTTTTCTGTGGATAAGTCGCGGACCAGTGGCCGCATTCTCGCGGACTTTCCGCGAGAATATAAAAAAAATGGTGGGAGTTTAGGAAGGTACCCTAAACTTGAGTAATTAAACCATCGATGGCACCTCTGCCACATAGAGTCTCACATTTGCTCGGCGTACGCCCAAAACTGCGTAAAAAGAGTCCGAGTGCTTGCCGAAAGTTTGACCAGCGCTGAAGAAATTATTTGCCGAGCGCTTGCAAAACATGCTGTATTGCTGCCCGCTTGCAGAACATGCGAACGCGAAGGAAGTGCTGCCCACTGAAGGTTTGGCCACGTCCCAAAATTCTGCTGACCGCCTGTAGAAAAGCGCGAGTTTGTGGACCGCCTGCCCCAGCGATTATCTGAGTACTCGAATAAAGAACAGAATAAAGGAAGTGCAAGTTTTGTCGTACAAAACATTGATTTATGTTATTCTTCCCAACATAAGGGTTCCCGAAAGCGTGTCAAGCGTGCTGGCGCTTTTGGCTTAGCGTAATCCGTGTGTGTCGAGAGATGAGGAGAATAGTACACAAGCTGGAGAGGCACATTACGTTATGGGTTGGCGAAGCCAGCGGGGCACTTGTGAATGCCAGTCTTACCCACTGGATTCGCGAAGCCACGGAACCCACGGAACCACTGGATTAGCGAATCCAATGGGCTCCGGAACCCAATGGGTTCGTTGATACGGCCACGGAGCACTTTTACTGATGCATTTTTTAAACAGATCAAAAAAAAGGTCAAAATATATTCAGAAATACATAGACGCTGCACGAATTACCCTGTAGCGAAGTGCTGTAAGGATCGCCCATGCCATTTTAAGCTAGTGAAAGAAGGAAATAAAATGAAATCTGCGAGAAATGCATACAAATCCATTTTTATCAAGTTATCCAAAGTGGACGGTGGCGTAGTGGTATGAGGCGCCGCTATGCAGACGACCAAGGTTTGATTCCATCCTTGGTGGGGCAACCAAAACCTCTACGGTCCGGAGCTGGTGAATTGATACCAGAGTAATCCAGGGGACAAAACACTGACTTGGTAATCGGTTGGCTCCTGCAAGTCGCTAAAAGGCTTGCGCGCATTCAGTAGCCTCTTTAACTATGAAGCAGATTGCATTCGCCGCATACCCGTAAAGGTGTTGAAGACGCCGAATTCTCTATCCTTCTATCTTTCATCCAGCCAAATTTAGAAATGTGGACGAAGCGAAGCGCAGAGCTATCCTTCGCTTGACATTTTTCCAATTCTCGGATACTCTCTTTATTCACGGAATACGACCTCTCTTTAAGCTGCAGCTTCTGACTTCGTCTAATATCGGACGTAAGACTTGCTGTCCTATCTTATATTGAAAAAGAATCTTCAAAAATTACTAACTCATTCTCTTCTACTTTTTCTTCATTGTCTTCACCATTGTCCCGCGGTGTTTCGACGGTTTCTTTGGGTACAAGTATCCATCTTATAATGCGTGTCTCCATCGTGCGCTGTCTGCTGGTGCTTCTTACGATTAGTCGCTAGCCAACACTCTGCTCCGTACAGGGCCATTGGTCGTACCACTGTCCGATACTTTGAATATGAGATATACTGGACTCCTGCGATTGCAAAGTGCCCCTATTATTTGAGACAGAAAAACTTTCAGACAAGCCGCAATCGTCCTAGCATGTGCATCAGTAATCGTCCGCATTCCGACGTTACATGGGAATCAGGCATTCAAAAAATGGTGGTATTCAGTGACTGTCCGTCGATGCTATGCGACCCGAGAGGAGTGAAACTCAAACAAAAATTTGTAAAGATTTTAAAACATTTTGTAACCCAAAATTAGCTGCAAATTTCATCATTGCATTGTTAATTAGATTTGACCTACTAGAAACCTTTGACTGGTTCATTTGGGGTTTACGCTTGAAGGAGGTTACTGTAAGGTAGTAGGTCAAATGGGATTACGTGATACCCACTAAAGAAGTTTATATACATTATGCGTTATAGCATTAATTGCTACATTTAGATGCGTAATTAATCGTAACCGTTGGATCTACCGTGGAGCTTCTGTTTGGTTCGGGTAGGCTTCCCGTGCGATCTTAAGGCACTGTAATGCAGTATAACAGAGTGGCACTCGTTCATTTATGAAAAAATTATTTGTAATTATGCATTTGAGATAAAAAACATTACATATGGGAAATAGCAAAAAGCTGTTATATTTTGAGCGAAACACATTTTTAGGCTCTTCTCCCGCCTACCCCCCATACCGTTTCCTAATTTTCCCTCACTTTCTTGGTGCAAAACAAGTTTACGTTTTTCCTGTGAATTTTTCAAGCCATTTTCGGCTCTCTCCAGCAATTTTTTTGATATGTCTTCAAGCAAACCTTGTTTCATCAGTCTTTCATGTTCCATGGCTTGAAATAGACTAAGATCAAATGGTGTTGGGCGGTCGTTCTTTTTCCCTATGCTATTACCAAGACCAAATTTGTTTCCAAAGCTTCGTGCATACGAAACGCTTTATATAAAAAATCCATAACGGGCCTTTAATTTTTCTTGACATTGTTTCATCAAAAGGTAAAAATTTTTCTGAATACATTATGAATTTGCAATGAAATTTCCTTTCCCCTGCACTCACTTTAATACTTGAAGCACACGCTGAATTCAATCCATATAAAACATATTCGCTGATATATTACTTTGAATCTAGTCTTGCTTTGCAGAAAACCAATTTTTATTTTGAGCAAACAGCTACAACATTACGAATTACATATCTGCAAGTCTTCACCGTTCCACAAGTCTCAAAAATTTTGCAGCAAAATGAGTCCACAGTCATTGAGAATTTGATTCAATCAGATGTGCCCTTCGATTCAACTGTCTTGGTGGCTGGAAGGCGGGGCTTTGTGACCTAATTAAGACCGCTCGCGCCCGCGACGCAGTCTGCGTCTGTCTCACGCGCGTGTTCTCTGATCATTACCTGGACTCAATTAGGTCACGAAGCCGTTTTCTAGTCGGCAAGGCATTTGAATCAAAGGGTACGTCAGTTGTCTTCAAATGCAGATTCCAAACCATTTTTTTCATCCGCCGAGCGATATATCCTTTGATCCAATTGGCTTGGCGATTGGAAGATGGGGCTTGGCGATCGGATTAAGGCTAGGTAATGATCAGAGAGCAGTAGCACGAGAGATATGCATTGTAAACTTATAATGTATCCAAAGTACGTTTTGCCTTTGAAACAATGCCAAGAGAACCGATTTTTCATAATGAGCGTTTCGTATGCATAAAGCTTTGAAAAGAAATTTCGTCTTGGTAGTAGCATAGAGAAAAAGAACGACCGCCTAACACCAATAGATCTATTTCACGTCTTGGAACAAGAAAGATTGATGGAACAAGGTTTGAAAAGACAGGCCAAAAGTTGCTGGAAT